AGTAAACCTTTCCGGGAGAAAGTGTTTCTCTCCCGGGCAGCCGGGAGCCGCTATTTAATAGCGGGAGACTCCCGAAGCGTCCGGGAGAGTTGGGATGTCTGATGAAGCAGCATCTATTGTACAGTACGTGATTTAATAGCATTTGAAATAGCTTAAAAACCTTTTGACTTTAACATCACGTTAAGTTTGCTCATCACTGATTTAAACATACTAAGCAAAACAAAAACCCTACACCTAGTTTAGCTGCTGTCTTTTCAGCAGGAGGGATACTGGGTTCTAAACCAGCAGAATAAACCCAGCAAAAAAAGAGCCAAGATTGAATTGGCCGCCTATAGGACAGCATGCTAAGGGAAACAAAGACATTTTGTTCTCAGCACATCCTTGCACAAAGCCTTTAATTATAAAACCAGGCGTGCTCCATTCTGAGACACTCGGCTTACCAAGAAAATGATGATATTTGCACAAAATCCTTCCCCGAATCTCATTCCTTAACGCACGTTTCCGTATCCCTGTGGAAGTGTTGAAGCATCACCTTTATTTCCTCTAGGTTCCTCTCCACTACGGTTTAACTTATTACCGCAGACATACAATCCTCTAATACAATGTAGGCGTAACTACTTGAAGTATCACTTGCCAAATCTCCCCCCCCCCCGACCGAGACAGCAATGTGAACTGACCCCCTGGGCTTCTGATTTTCCGAAAGATTAGAAGAGTATGCTTCATAGATCTTTTAATGGTAATCCCGTACTTGGGCTTAGAGATTTAGAAAATCTTCACTTTTCACATCTCTTCAGTTCATTGCCATCTATTAGAGGGCAACCAACGAAAAATGAAAACTCTGCTTTGGGTACGGTACTATGAGTTAAAAGTGAATTCCAGGCAAACATGTAAATACATAGAGGAAATACATATGGAAGCATATATGAAAGTTATTTTACCTGCCAAATTATTTGTATTTCTGTTCATCCAGTCCTGAGATTTACATAGCTCTGCTGCACAGCCCTATCTGACAAGGCAGAAAACCTGATCATTCTCTGCTGCAGTTTAAGTACTTGTTCATGCATTTTAAATAATCACCCCAAGTCCCCTCTCACCTGTGTCGAAACAGAGCGGTAGCTTCTGGAACGCGCAGCAGTCACTCACAAAACTTCCCCCGGCATTCTGTTCCGGGGCTGGTGGGGGAAATGCGGCGCATTGAGGTCAATGGCACCGTAAACACGCCCCCCCCTACCCCCCACAGTGCGATCAGACGTGTGGCAAAACATTGCCTGCGTTCCGTTCCACTGCAAACGCAAAATATGCTTGCTCTGTTTTTTGCATTTGCAGTGGAAAGCAGGCAATGTTTTGCTACTGGTCCGATCGCACTGCAGGGGGCGTGGCTGCGGTGCCATTGACCTCAATGCACCGTCATTCCCCTCCTACCCCAGAACGCAGGGGGAAGTTTTGTGAAAGGAAAGGAACCACAATGTATGGCAGCAGCTACCCCTCTGGAATGCACTGCAATTGGTGTGAACAAGCCCTAAACTGTGCAAACCCCCCACCTGCAGGCCCCTGTACTTGCTGCCTCTGATGCCACTTGCCAGTATCTGTAGACTAATGTCCCATAGACCTAAATGGGACGTTGCTCTTGCAGTTTGGGTACGGTCCATTCAAGCCTGTGAAACATTAGTGCACAGATACAAGCGGCCCAGCTCTAGTTTCTAACTGGCTGCAGACAGATTGGGAGTCTACAGCCATCAGAGGAAGAAAGTACGAACCTGCTGGGGGAATGGGGAGGGTGCTCACTTAAATGAAGGGGGATATAGAACAGTCATGAGATTATCTCTCTGGTATTTTGCTCTTTCCTCCTATCAGCATGTCCTTTGGTAGCCCACAAGCACTATTCTACAACTGACTGGCTCCTTGTGCTGCCTTCCCTCTTTCATTCTGAGCTCTGCTGTACAGGGTCTACAAGAGGCTGATGCCAAGTCAAATTCAGGTAATTGTACTGCTTCCATTCAAAACAATTGCATTTAAAGATGAATACATTTTAGTCATCTGACCCAATGCTAGCGGTGCTAATCATTGCATTGCTCTGTTGAAGCATACATCACTTATTGAGTATTGGATGTCTGGTCCCTTGTTGTGCTCTGCTTCCATCTCTTAACCCCTACATAACTTTACTGCACAGTAGTGAATTGGGGATACCCGATCGAACAACAGTGCTCAGTGGGAGACCAGGCATCCGACTCACCCGGAAGTGTGTTTGATGCTAAAGCATTTTCTGCAGCTGTAGTTTTTACAAAGGGCGAAGATCAGACAGGTAAGTATTAAAGAGGATTTCCAAAAGTGAACTCCTGCAATGGGGCTACCCCTGCCCCATTGCACTGCAAGAGTTAACCCTTAACTGTAAGCGTTCCTAGAGTTCTTCTTTAAACTGTTGAATTAGTCTTTTTGTGCTCACAAGCTGAAAGGTGTGCTGGGATTTTTTGTATTGTAAAGGTGCCCATACACCTGCCGATTACGATACGATAATCGCGGGGGATCCCGCGATCGTACGATAATCATCAGGTGTATGGAAGACGTGCGACCGTCTTTTGTCGTGCTTTGAAGACAAATGCCAAACGGGCCGGTGTGCGCAAGCGCACACTGCCCTGCTCAGCATTGGAATCATCGGAAGCTCACCCCTCAGCGAGGAGGGCTTGCGATGATCACAAGTACAATCTGCCTGTCCAAGATGGCCAGATCGTACGAGATTTTAATTACCTTACAACCGTCGCACAATGAAAGTTGTGCGATGGTTGTAAGGTGTATGGCCAGCTTTAAGGTGAGAACCTCTTCTCGCCTTAAAGCTACCTAAACGAAGCCACTTGAGATGTAATTCTCACAGCCGTAAGGAAGAAATAGTACAGCATTCAGTGTTTTTCAAAGACTGTAAGCTATAACAGATGCTCTACCTGTATATATAACTCATATATCTAAAAGTTATGTACTTGTTATAAACAGAAATTCTCTGTACAGTAAAAAAAAAAGTTCACGGTGAGAAATTACTCCCCACCTTCCCAATTTAACTTATTCTGTGTAACATACTGCAGCCTCCTTCTATAATGTAACCCTGCTCACCCTCCTGCTGTACATCTCTTCTATAACTGTGCCTCCTGCAGCCCCCATTGACTTTCCAACTGGGCTTCCTGCTGTTTCTACATGACAGTTACTTTCCGAGTGAGATCTCTACGCTAAAAAAAAATCCTGTCTATACTCTATGAAGCCTGTGGGCTACCATAACCTTCCCTCCTCTTCTTCCGACGGTAAGATTCCAGCTCCTGCTTTTTTCTATGAAGGATCGCAAAAAGCAACTTTTTAATGGCAAAACAAAGTAGAACTGTCGCAAACCTGGCCGATGCAAACGGAGCATAGGATGAAGACAAAAATGCCACAGCAAAGTTTAGGTTCCGGAAAAAACTAAATTCAAAATGATTGCTAGGCAGTTGGATCTTTATGTAACATTTTAACTTTTCCTGTAAAAGTCATGCTTGGCTACATTACTTATCAGGTATTGTTCCTGGCTATGGTGGTAGATTGGGGTTGTGCTTGTGGTGGTGGGAGACACGAGCCATGCCTGTGGCTGTCAGAGTCTTGCAATGCCTAATGGGATTAGGCAGAGTTTGCCTGCTCCTGCTGTAACAGAAGAGGCAATACATTTATTTTTCTGAAGGCCAGTGTGTTGTTTCTCCGGCCGCAGCAGATATTCAACCTTACAGGTGTGTGGAATACCCGCTCCCCCCACTGTGGTTCCTCCCACTGGCTTATATGCCCTAAAGTGAGGTGCAAGCCAGTGAAAGAAACCACAATGTATGGCAGGGAAGCAGGTACTTCACAAAACTGCAAGCATGGAATATTTGCAGCAATGGTGGGGGCAAATAACCATTAACCAAGGGGGCAAGTGATCATTCCCTATCATCAACAACCCCCCCTTTTTCCCCCACCACCACCTCCCCGGAATAGCAGCAATTACCATAGGGACAGCCCTTGGTTTCCCATTGTGGGCAAGTGACCCTGTGGTTATAGAGTCACTTTAAAATGTATTTCTTGATTTAGTCTTGGAAAGAACATTGAAGGGGCTGGCCCCCATGTCAGTTTTTATCACTGCACCCTAGCTGAGGGGGAGATTCATGCTCTCTCTTTTGTCTGGGACAGAAGGTGATGAAAATTCCACATTACATGGTGATCATCCAATGGGGACATCTGTTCTTTATAAAGGCGGATTTTGCCTCACTTTGGCGTGAATTCCTCTCACTTTCTGTTGTGTTTGTGGAACAGGAAGAAAACTCTCCCCAATGTGATACAGCAAAATTAGGGTTTTCCACTCTAGCCAGAAAAAAAGGGGTAGGCAACCTCGACACTTCAGCTGCGGTGAAACTACAAATCCCATGAGGCATTGCAAGAGTCTGACAAGTCACAGGCATGACTCCCAGAGACAGAAGCATGACAGTATTTGTAGTCTCCCCACATCTGGAGCGCCCAGGTTGCCTGCCCCTGGGCTAGAGATACACTTTATTGCACCAAAAAAAATCCCATTAATAAAATTTTGCTGACAACAGTGAGAAATCTGTACAGAATAAAAGAGAAGGGAAGTTATCTCTATATATAATAATGGCTACAGGAAAGCAATGTGCTTGTCATAGCAGGTTGTGCATGATAGAACTCCCAGCAACCTCAGAAGAGAACTGTGCATACAGAGAAGTCTGAATTCTTTTTATGTGAATTACCACCCACATATCACCAGAATAAAAAAAAAAATAGGCACCAATTCCTGTAACGGATTATAATGGAAAAAACCTGAGGTAATTAAGTAATGGAAAAAACAATAAGTGACGTATCATAATAAAACATAAAAGCACAAAGGAATATATCTCTATGTTTATCATCTCTGAGGTAAAAAAATGGACACCCTAAGCCCCCCTCTTTAACACGCTCACTGCCAGTTCTGGCTCTATGGTTTGGTTACCATGGTTACTTACAATCGTAAAGTTCATGACTTTGAGTATCCAGATGGTCATGGCGAGGTTCACCAGGATAAGTATCATGAGGAGCAGAACAAAGAAGTACAGGCAACGCTTCCTCCAGCCATATATCCCCACCTTGTAGACATGGGGTCCCTCGCTGTTGGAGAGCGTGCTCCTCTGAGCATACTGTTCCTGAGGCATCTGGAACACAGAAAGACACATTATAAGTGATGAAGTAAAAGTTTATTGCTAAGACATATTGACAGAAGCAGAATGCAAACAAATGTACTAAGGCCTTCTGTATCTTAGTCAGTATGACGATATAATTAAAGTGTATTTCCACCTTTGCTGCCAAATTGGCATGACACCTATTTCAGGTTTGTTACATGTTTCTCATTCACATGGCATAACTGCATCATTTTTATAGTTGTTGCTTGCACAATGCATGCTCTGCTCTGAAAGGAAAGTTGTTCTCTGTAGTGAGATTTGCTCCGGAATGCAAGGGGAGGCAGGTTAATGTTAACATCATTTTTTAAGGACTCATTCAGGCGGGAGTGCCAGTCCGTACAGCGTGCATGCCCATGGGAGGACCTGATCTCAGAAGGGTCGAGCGCTTTGTGTAATTTCATGCAGCGGCCTGTACCTTTCTATGGGAGCATGCGGCTGCATGCAGGTCTGGGTGCCTGCACCTGGACGGAGACAGTATGCATCCAAGTGTGGGCACCCGGACCCAAACAGATGTGCAGGTTGTGGTCTGTGTGTAACCGCATGCAGCCGCATACTCTCATAGGGAAGTACAGGCTGCTGCATGCAATTACATGCAGCACCTGTCCTGCCTGGGATCGGGTCTTTGCACAGGCATGCACACTGTACGACAGGCACGACCATGTGAATGATCCCAAAGCATCGCAAGGATAATTCAACTTCCTACTCTCAAGTCAGCTAAGCACTTCAGCTGCCATCCAGGAAGTTCCCAGCAATAGGCTACAATTTACAGGCAATTCTCCTTATGAAGGTATTTAGTAACGGAAACAACAATAGGATAACACATGTGTCACTATTAGGGTTGCCATCTTTTCTTTCATCGAAACCCAAACACTCTAGCGACATATAGAATTTTTTGGGGGGAGAATGAGTTGCGGCTTATTCATATTTAAATAGCACCACCTATTCATATGTAAATATCACAGTCAAGACTATTTTCAGTGAGGCGCCAGCAGCCCTGTCTGCCTGACATAATGTGTCCAGTTTTCAGCTGCCATGAAACCCAGACGCAGCATTCAAAACCCAGACTGTCCGGGTGAATCCCGGACAGGTGTCAACCCTAGTCACTATATGCATTAGGAATCAGGAACAGTTTAAAAGAAGCTGATGATGTGACCAGATTTATAAATCTCCCCAATTGTATGCTAATGAGAGAAAGCTCAGTCTGCCCCCGGTCTTTCTATGGGGGCAGACAGAGATTCCTGTCACTTGGATATTGAGAGAGAAGCTTGCAAGAGGCAGAAGCGAGATTTGTAGTTTCACTGGAGTTTGCCCACCTGTGATCTAGTAAGTGCACCATAAATCACAGCACCAAAAATCTGTGTAAGATCAGCTTTAGAATCGCATTACGATAAAGTGCAGTAAATCACAACTATTGTGTAGTACCACAACACAGGATCAACATAGTATTCATTGGAGGAAGGTCTGTGGCTATACCCCAATAACAAATATCAATAAATAGTGGACTAACTGAGACGATCCCAGTCCTACCAATTGGAAGAGTGGGCTTTTGAGCCAATACAACAGACCTATTTAATTAAAACTTACATGTCATGTTTATTTTGTGCTTACACATTTTAAAATACAAGAAAACATTTTCTTTTGTGCTAAGTACATCTAAAAGCAAATACATAGATGCTGGTCTATTTTCATAAATAATTATGACTTAATAATAGAGATATCAAATAGACCAATTTACAATGACTAAGAGCCCTCTCGTGGCGTCTTAATACTGTATGCAGTCCTCAACGTAATTCTCCAACTATGGCTTCCTCTGGAGGATAGACACAGCAAACTAAAGAAAACAATATATAAATACACATATATAAACTAAACAACAACACATATCTATGGTGAACATACATATTTTTTGGGCTTACAGTAGACCAGCTCCTGGTACAGTGGGCCTAAACATAAGAAAAACAACCAACCACTAGGGTCATAGCTACATTTTCTCGACAACATAATCAAATCCCTAAGATCATTTCAAAACACTTGCATCTTTTAACATCAGACAGAGTGGCAAGAAAATACGTTGGAGAAATCCCTGACATAGTATTTTGGTGAGCTAGATCTATTAAAGATATGGTAACCTCTGGTCACTTTCATGATACTACTGAGTGCTGAGAGGGCTCTTCATCATTGTAAATTGGTCTATGAACTGCAATTTACTGTTGATATCTCAATGGACTCATATTAAGTCATATGTATTTATGAAAATAGACCAGCATCTATGTATTTGCTTTTAGATGCACTTACCTCAAAAGAGAATGTTTTAATTGTATTTTAAAATGTGTAAGCACTAAATAAACGTGAAATATATGTTTTGATTAACTAGGTCTGTGGTGTTGGCTCAAAAGCCCATCTTCCAATTGGTAGGACTGGGATTGTCTCAGTCAGTCCACTATTTATTGTTACTGCAACACAGGATGTGGAGCCTGTTTATTTAAAGGAGAACTATGGGGAGAGAGAAATGCACCCATCTCTATAGCTAGAGCCGACGTATGACATTGCAGCTGTTACATGTCAGCTTTATTGATCGAGAACTGAGCGATCCCATATCGCTGATCACTTAGTTCATGATGTTCTCCCTGCAGAGAGTGGTGACTGTCAGTCACTGCTCCCTGTAGGGATTCCCCCTCCCCTCTCCGTTTCTCAAGTGCCTATTGAGGGGACAGACAGTGGAGGGGGCGGGCACAGCTGGTTTTGGCTTTAGAGAGGCAGAGCCAGCTGTCAATCAGGTAGCGGGGTGGATCCTGACAATATTGTCGGGATCTTTCGCAGCTGCAGCACTGCTCTGTCAGCATATAGCAGGCAATAGTCCGCTATATGCTGAATTTTGGGTCACTGACATGTCCTCCTGTGACCCAAAAGAGAACTAACGCCAACAAAAGTTTGGCCATAGTTCCCTCTTAATGATAAAATATGACTGCCCTCATGTACATAGATAATGATCTATTCAGAGCTGAAACGCAATTTAAAAACTCCCATAACTGCACTGATCAGCGCGATTCCATTGAAAGCTGTAAGGAAACATAGCGTGGAAAAAAAAAGCCCATGGAGCAATTCTGGTGGGAGGCGGTTTGGATCGCGTGTTCCCGCGCTTTCGCATGAACGGTCCCCATAGCAATGTATGCGATCGTTCATGTCATGGATTCGTGCGGTCAAACTGCCCGGTGTGAAACGGGGCCTAAGTCCCCATTCACACCATCACATTCCAGGGATGTTCGTTGCAGTGACGCATGTTCACAGACAGTTTCTTCCTGCGTTTACTGCACATCCCCATTGATTTCAATGGTCACAGCACGCTAAACAAATGTGGGAAAAGTAGCTCATGTGGCAAAATCTGCTAAATGTGTTTCTTGTTTTGTTTCCCAGGCATTTATGTGAGTTTGAATGCGGAAGTGTGTTGCGCATTTTTGATGCGTTCCGTTAAAACGCGTCAAAGCGCACTTTTTCAGCGTTAGGCGCGCATTTACAGAACGCAATGGTGTAAACGGGAACTAAAACTGGAACTAAGCATTAATGCAAACAAGCAGTACTAGACCTTTCCATCATAAAGAAGTAAATTTGCTCTGGTGAGGTCTCTGCTTGAACAGGGCTTTGGGACTTGCACAAGAGTGATTATAATTTACGAGAATATACAAAGTTTTTGCTGTACAGCGATGAAGATTGGTAAGGCTCCATTCACACCTGAGCGGCTCTCCGCGCGTATTTGGCTGTACGGATACACACGGAGCCGCACTAAACAGAGAACACAATGCACTTTAATGTGCATCACTCAGACCATTGCGAAACCGTGCGCCCCCCCCCCCGAAATAGTACAAGCACGATAATAGGGCGGATTCCGCACCATCACGGTTATTTAATAGCCGCAAACGAGCGGCATCTGTGCGGATTAAAAATATTTGCGTTTTCCTCCCGAACGGCAAAAAAGGGGTTTTCAGGAGGGTTTCCGTGTGAATTTTAAAAGGGCATTTTTAATCGTATTTCAGCACGTTGATCATGCTGATCAGCGCAAAAAAATAGTTCAGGAAGCATTTTGGGCGGCAGGCGTTTGGGGTCTCAGGAAGCTGCGCGATTGCATGAACGTTCCCCATAGGAATGTATGGGGTTGTTCATGTCGGCGGTCTAGCATAGACAAATCCGCGCTACCGAACCACCCTGGTGTGATCGGGGCCTAAGAGACATGGTGACTTTGGGCCCCTTAGGCTCCATTCACACCTGAGCGTGCGTATTCGGCTGTACGGATACACACGGAGCCGCTCTACACAGGGAATTCAATGTGTATTGTCGAAGCAGTCCAAGTACGATAACCCGGCAGATTCCGCACGTTCTCGGATATTAAGTAGCCGCAAACGAGCGTCATCCGTGCGGATTTAAAAATGTTAGCGTTTTCGGCTCCGCACGGAAAACCGTGCGGGAACCACAAACGCTATGTGAATGCAGCCTCAGACTTTTATATTATCCTATTTACACATATCATTCCTTTGATTTGGTTACTCATTTTCTCAGTGAGTGATTAAGTTATGGTTGTTGCTTTATTTACAGTCACTTCGCAAACTGATTGCACAAATAAAATAAGAGTTTTTATATTTTTCATAAACACACATGACTAAATCACAACACTGGTTGAACACTTTCATGAATCCTTTGACAGGTTAAAGAGTTCACACTCCAGCTTTAAGGGGTAAATTCTGTAGTTAGAATTTTTTGGATTTCTGCCAGAAGCGCCTCCTAAATAGAAACAGACCATATGCCACATGCTATATTACTTGTTTTTTTCCAGCCCTGCTGGTAAGAATGATACAGCGTAAAGGGAGTAGAACAGCAACTAAAGTACTGCACAAGCGAGTGAATGAGGCCGGACTATAACATGTGAGGAATAAGACAGTTTGTATTTGTGTAGCTCTCAGCCTGGCCCCTATTTGTGTAAA